ATTTTCTTTTATTAATAGAATAAAAAAATAAAAGAAAAAGAAATAGGAATAGAAAAAAGAAAAGAAAAGAAAGACGATAAAAAAGAAGATCAATATCTTGAAGATATCATAGATATTGATGAAAATACTGCAAAGGATTTTGAATTTCTACTAAATGCTCCAGTTTCTGAAGATGATCACTTTGTTTTTAAATCAGAAAAAAATTGGAGTATTGATACATCTAAATACTCTGAATTTTTTACATTAGATCTAAAAACATTATCTGCAGCAATTGAATCAATTCCATTTAATAAAAATGTTAATATTGATGCAAAGTATTTTACTGTAAGTTTAATGACATATCAAACTAATTTAGTTCATATTTAGTATAATTATATTTAAAACAATGGATATTATTAAGATATTGTTAATTATTTTAAGGATGACCAGTTGACGAACATTTATAATAATGCAAAACAAGGCATAGAAAAATATAATAAACTTTTAAGTAGTACAGAAATAAATGTTACTAGTGATATAAAAGATGGGGAAGGAAGTCAGGATTTATTAGAGGACACAACTGAAGATTTAGATTTTTTATTGTCACTTCAAGAACCTGTGAATGATCCTTCAGTGATTTTGAATTCTTTACCTAACTCCTTTAATATTGGTACAATTTACGAAAATTTTCAATAGGATATTTTATTTAAAATCATAATTTATAACTATATGCTAATGAAATACATATTTTTTACAGATTCAAGAATAACAACTAAATCTAGTACATCTACTAAACCTTTAGATTTAGAAAAGTGGTTGGATTCTGTATTGGATGATTAAGTGTGAATTATTGTTCTGAGTAATTTTACTAGTTATTATTTTTACCTCTTAGAAATTATATATTCTGTAAATGTTTCTTATAAAATATTACTTGAACCTTAGACTCTATAATTCTTGTAACAAAATAGTGAATAAAATTGGTTCATTTTTGTATTAATTCAGTACACTTTTGTCCTCACAAATATGCCAGAAAATTACAATAATTGCAATTGAATATTTATATACTTTACGAAATAAATTATTTTTATTTAACAAAAGGTTTCAATTAATTTCTAAATAAATTTTCTTTTTTAAAATTTTATGAAACAAACAATAAGTGTAATGATACATATCTGTTTCCTTTAAATTTGATCTTTTTCAAATAAACATTTACTATGTTATATTAGTAGGTAAATTAGGTATTAATAAAGATTAAAGTACAAACTTTTTGTACAATATATTTTAAATTTTTTGTACAAATATTTTATATTTTATAAAACATAAAAATACATACATTTTTTATAAATAGCATAAATATTATATACATTAGCTACATTTTCCTATTATATGTTATTACATAGTTTGATTATATGTACAAAAAAAGGTAGTTGTCCATATTACCATGTTACATGTTTAAGCACATCATTAAGTGTTTCAAATATATTTTTATAAACATCACTAAGTCTAAAACTGAATTTCATTTTTAATTATAATGTTATAAAAGCAAGTATTAAGTCTTTCTTAATGTTGATAAAAATGCAAAATTCAGTTTACATTTAAAATGTTAATTAATTATTCTGTAGTTTAAAAATTTAATTAATCACCAAACTTTACATTGAGATATGCTTTCATGTTTTCATAAACTATGAGCATAATAGCACCACCTGGTCCTAATCGTAAAATTTTTGGTAATAATCCTTTATATAAAGCTCTAAATCTGAAACAAAAATTATCACAGACAACATATATATTGAAAAAATTTAATTAGTTATTGTCATGAGCAAAAAATGAATACAACTGAATTCGTAAATTATTTCTTACCCTTCCCTGTGATAAACTATGTAAATAGTTCGCAGAGTACCCTTGTATTGCATTGTTTCTTGAGGACCTTGAATACGACTTTTAGCCACATCAAAGGGTATGTTCATACAGGATGCCACTGTCCCAGATACAAAACCTATGATGAACTAAAAATATATGTGTTGATTATGTTAATACAAATACTATAAGCTTTTAATGTTAATTATATTAGTATACATTAGTTCAA